CACCACAGACAGAGCCCTCCTAGCTGCTTCCCATTCATCCATGCACAAGCATTAACTGAGCACCTGCTGTATACCAGGCCCAGTTCTGAGGATACAGCATGACCAGGACAAATCCCAGTCTGTCCTGTAATGGGCTCCCAAATCCTTGGGTGTGCAAAACAACCCAATAATCACACAGGAAAATGTGGAAATCACACCCTAAATGTGGGTCTAAATGAGGGAAATGGACATGCATAATGGACGTAACTGAGACCTGGAAGAGGGGTGATGGGAAAAAACTTCCCATCTGAGGGCTTAATGGAGACCTGACAGATAAAGAAAGGAGGGATCAGAGCTCTGGGTAAGGGGGACTGCCGGGCAAAGGCCTTGAGGCTGGACCAGTTTGCATTCTGAAGGATTGGCCCAGGGAGCCATATGGCTAGAGCTGAGTGAGCCATGGGGAGGAGGCGGGGGGTGTATGTGCAGAGGCTTGCCTGTGGGGCAATGGAGGTTGAGGGGACAAGAGTGGGCTTGTTCCTAGAGTGTTTGGAGCATGGGAGGCAGGGACCATTTCCTTGCCTGGCCCAAGGCGATGTGACTCTGCTTCCCCCTGGTGGTGGTGAGTAAAGCAGCTTTGGTGGCCTCTGCCCTGGCCCCAAACTCTTGTCTCCATTTCCTCCTGGAAAAACTCTGGTAAAACAAGTCAGCTGTCCCCAACCCAAGGGTCGCTCCCCTCATCCTGTCCTCACTTGAGGTTGAGGCCAAGGACTCAGAGTTAGATCTGGCCAGACCAGGGTACTCCTAGTCAACACATTGTGAGGTCCTGTGCCTCAGTTTTCTCCTCCACTAAATGGGGGTGATGGCAATCCCTACCTCCCATCAAATGCCCTGACCTGGTACAGATCCCACCATCTCCTGCCCAGATGTTGCCCTAGCCACTTCCCTGTCTCTGCAGAACGTTCTCTCCCCACGGTAGCCACAGAGGCTTTACAAATCTTGGTCCTGCCTCAGGACCTGTGCACATGCAGTTCCTGCCACCTGGTGCCCATCTTCTCCTAGCCCTGTACAGGCCTTGGTTCAAACACCACCTTCCCAAGAGGCTCCTGTCTGAATGTGTCTATGTGTGCATTCGCTTGTCCACTGCTCACCTCCCCAGCTGACTGAGAGTCCCTGGGGGGAGGTCTATGTTTGTCTTGTTCACAGCTGTGCCTTTAGCACTTGGCACATAGCAGGTGCCTAATCAGCACTTGTTGACTGAATGAAGGTACCTGCCTATGCTGGGCCCCATATGGTTCTCTCTTCTCCCCATTAAAGGCCTGTGAAAAGATCTGAGCAGCTCGTTCATACTAAGGTGTAAAGGATTGATGGACCATCTAAGTCTAGATATCACTGACCCTCATGTGTCCCTCCCTGAACCTTTGCTCAAACTATGGGAGGATCCCACAGTGGTCCTTCCTGTACAGGGACAAGACCCTAGGCCCAGTCACAGAGGGTGGCTCGAACCCTCAACAGACTGGTGGCAAAGTTGGCCTTGACGCTTGGCCCCCAGATGTACTAATTCCAGAGAACTGGCATCTCCTGTCTGAGCCTTAGTTCCTCAGCTGGGAAATGGGATCAGGAAGGGTGCCTCCATCCTGGGGCTGCAGAGGGAACAGAGTACCTGGTACAGAGCTGGTGCTCAGTCAAGCTGGTTCTTTTCTCTTTACACCACTTTGTCTGGTTAAGCTCAATGCACTGGGCTCTAATGGAGGGTGCGTGTGTGTATATGTTCAGAGGGAGGTCCTGGAGGGCACAGCTGGGGAGCCAGGGGGGGTCTCTGAGCAGTCTGGGAATCTAGCACCTGCCTCGGGGAAGTCCTTGGGCAACAGCTCAAGTTCTGGCTCTCCCTGGCCACCTGTCAGACGGAGGACCTGATGGCCATGGCTGAAAATGGAATTTTCCTATCATAGCCCTAGTGTGTGTCACAGCGCCATTATATGGAAGGGCAAACTGAGGCCCAGAGAAGTGATGTCAGCAGCCTACAGTACCTTGGGGAGAAAGCCGGGTCTGGACGGCTTCCAAGGCTCTGGGGCACCAGGGCGATGTCCGCGCCCCGCCCCCACACGCTGTCACTTACCTCCAGGGGTGCAGGCCCAGGGAGGGGCTACAAGGGCTGCAGGGGCTGCTGGGGCTCAGCAGGGACGGGCTCAGGCTGCTTGGAGACAGACTGCAAAGAAAGAGGCCGGGGACCGTGAATCTGGCGGCCGCCCCTGCGTGTGACCGAATCGGGAGACTGGACCAGGGCTGCGGTGGCCTCAGGGAGGAGGGGCCCACGGCCCTGGACTCTGGGTTTCGCACAAGCCGTGAGGGCGGGGCCAGACCGATGACCCAGGAGGGCTCCCCGTAGGCGGCGGTGCGTTTGTGGGCGACACGAATAGAGACGCAGGGGGAGGGTGGCTGTTATTCTGTCCTCCTCGGCCCCCCCCAACTGCCCCACTTAACACTCACTCGAGGGTCAGCGCCGGGATGTGCAGCTTGTCCCTGCGGGACTTCATGCCGAGGCCAGGGCCACGTCTACGCGGCCGGGTACCGACGCCCCCTTTGCGGCCTTCAAGCCCTGATCGTGGCGCGAACGGACAGACGGACGCGGGGACTGCACGCCGGGCGGGCGCGGCAGACTCGGCGGGG